AATGATTGAACAAAATAGTAGCAATTACTAGGTGGAATTAGTCAACCTGCTGCAGGTAAATGATTACTGTTATGGTGCCTTATAAACGAAAACTAAAATTTATAGAAAAAACATACTCATAATTCAACTAAATCTTATTATAGAGACAATTTGTGAATAAATGAAAATACCCATTATGACAAATCTGTTCATTTTATGTTTAATTTTTTAAATATAACCGCAAAAAGGAAGAATAGTGTAGAAGAAGCAATATGTGTATGGTTCAGCAATAAGAATTATGGAATGTGGACAGATGCTGAGATGTATATTATTTGGCAGAAAGTGCAAACAAAAGTAAAGCCTATCATTTGTGTAATAGTTTCAAAGTGTAATTTATAGTAAACATCCTGTGAGATGTGATACTGTACTCAAAGTTTTTTGCATTTAATCTGTTCCTAATGGTTTATTAAAATCACTTATTTTCACATCACCTTGATTCTGTGTTTATGTCAATGTTAATTTTAGGCTTATCACCACCAGTTTCCACTTTCCTTCAGAAGACTGGGGAAAAAATAGCCACTTTTTTGGAGTAAAAACAAAAAATTGACTGAAATTTTGTCTGTTGGCTCAAAAATTAGGGTTCATTTCCAGAAATATTGAAGAATATAAGAAAAAGTGCAGAATAATTTGGGCGAGAAAGTTTGGTGAAGAAAAGGCTAAGTGTTAGACTTATCATTTGTGGTAGTCTGTGTTTTCAGACAAATCCTGGCAAAACAGAAACAGCAGGATTTAACATAGACAGGTTGTGGTCAACCAAACATACCAACAAGTAAAACATGAATAAATAACATGATTTTCAGTTTCATCCCATTCACTGAAGTTTTCCTGGTTCAACCATTTGAATGCAATCATTTTTCCAGCCAAATTGTAGATACAACATTTTACAAATTATTTAATAATTTCTTGGCTGATTCTATATAGACCAAATGAACATAATTTTCCATTGCTTAAAAAGTGTCAATTGAATTTTCTCTTGTGTGAAAAGGGAAAACAGACGATTTAGGCACTCAAATGGCTCAGAATAATTCAGAGATGGTTTTTACAATGATTATATTTGTTGAGTTGCCAAATAGACCATTAAGAAGCGGAAATAAGTTTATGGTAACAGTTACAGTACCAACTTCTGGAGCTGCAACAAGTTCTGATTTCAGTTCAGCTATAGCCAATGGTAATACATGTATGGACATGTAATGCGCATAATTTAGGTCAAAGGTGATTCTATTTTGCATATTATAAATATCTTGAAACTTCTTTAATTTTCATAAAATACTAATTTATGCAAGTTTTGTTGAGTCTGAGAAAATTGTATAATGTCGCCGCATTGTTGTCTTTTAGACACAGCGACTTTTGCAAGAATTTGTCACCATAAACGTCTCTCAAATTACAGTTCACAGTTTCTTCCATGTGGTTTCAAAATACTTCTCTGATTTAAAACAAAAAGTTATCTAGCTTGTACCCTCATGTTAGAGTTTTATAGTATAAAGGATGATCTGAGTAAGGGTAACCATGATATAATTGTAAATTTATAAGTGCATAGAAAAGAAAATATGTCGTCTCAAAATGAAATGCAGCAAAAGAGATGAACTTCTATGTAGTGATAAAGGGTAAGTGA